CCCATAGCGAAGGAGTCGTCACCCAAATTGCTGAATCGCCCAAAATCCTAGCGATGACTAAACCCTATCATTATCTAAAAGTCACGATTTGAGGCTGTTTGAGCAAATCACGATTACATCCCACGATTTGAGAAAATTAGTGACAAGCGGTTATGAAGAAAATGTGGTGGTAGGAGTTACAAATGGTAGTTATTGGCCAGTCAGCCACTATGAAAGAAATGGGTAGTTACGAGCAGAGTCCAAACGGTTGAGAACCGCCCAATGAGTATAAAAGGAAGAGGAAAGCAATGAAGAAACCCCGATAAAATTTACTCTCAAACAGAGAATATGTAATTTACTTTTTCTTAGATTAACTTTAATTATTTCAATCTCCTTGTACTTATGTGCTTGCGCCCCTTGGAGGCATCTTGTTCGTATCCAAACTGTAATCTTCATATTCGATAAACACCCATTTTTGAGACTTTGTTCCAAGAGATTTGTCCCTTACACAATCATCTGATCCTCTTTTAATTGTTAGCGAGTAACCATGCGAAACACTAAGTTAATGTATGTAACAGGCTTAAGAGCTCCTTCTATGGTACCTTTTGAAGTGGGAAAATGTAAGATTCTTTTACATGTCATAGTCTGTTTTATTCTTTTAGATAACAAAATACATGCGAGAGATTCTATTGAAGGAAAAAGAAGCTTCCCTAGAACAAAAACACGTGTAGGGAGTCGGAAGACCAGAGATACTTCCAGATGAAGAAATGAGTTATTAGAAATTGCGATCATGATTCCATTTCAGTAAGGATCGTCGAACCAAAAGGGAAAGGAATTTTATAATCCTATTTAGGTTTGAGAAAAAGGGGCAGAGCAAGAAAAAGAGAGCGAGCAAAGGTGAGGATGAATGTTAATACTATTGGGAATTTACTTAACATGCACAGCAAAAAATACAACAGATTTCAATTCCCACCAAAGATCTGATTTGCGTTTAGATAGAAACTGTGATAGAAATTATACATTTGATAAATTCCACAAGCTCAGTTGTCCTTTCTTGAACTCGAATGATCACAATCTACAGTCCAAACTGTCCAACTTCCAACGGTAATCCACACAGAGAACGAGAATGACGACTATGATTTTATTTTCTTGTACTAGTAAGAATAATGAATTATTCCATACATCTTTCAAACTCTAGCAGCCTATTAATATAAATCCAAGCAGGCTTGGCCCGTCTCGTAAACTTAACCCGGTCCAATATTTAATTAATCAAATTAATTAAATCTGGTCCATGAATTAATTAATCCAACTAATTAATTATAATATAGATCTAAGTGGATCAAATATTTAATTAATCAAATTAATTAAATTCAGTCCATGAGTTAATTATTCTAATTAATTAATTCGGGCATATTAACAAGCAACTCAATTAATTAATTGTCCAACACTTGTTAATTAATTAATTTGTAAATATCATTCTTCTAATTCTATTTTGTGTGTAACCCACTAGGTTTCCGATCACGATATCTAACGACGCGAATTATTATTTTGATCTAATCAAAATTGATAAATTAAAATACTCTTTTAATTTATCATTAATTCACATATGTCGTCCCAGATTGACATCTAGCAATGTGTCTGGGCAATACATGTGACGAAAAATGTCATGTGGTATGACAAAATCAAACTTGTTCGTTTACCGTGAAACTATAATCATTTCGTCAATATGATCCGATCAATTATGAGATATGAATATGTGTCAATCTTAATTATCGATCATTTCTTTTATTTCACTGTTAAGTCAATGTTTTCGACTTATGAGTTCACATTGGCCAAGGATTTCATTATCAATTTAACTGAATAAAATGTAGATCATAATCTCTTACTATCTAAGAGTGACAAATCATCTATTGATCATTCACAACATTCATATGATTCTTGACATACGCGAACGATGTTGTATTAGATACCCTGACAGAGCAATATCACATCACCAAAGTATGACTGTCCTCAAATAGGGCACTATGATGACCTCAACTCAAAAGACCAATTCCAATACCGAACGTTAGAGATTAATCACTTACACTCAGATAGTTATTCATGTGAAATCTCCCAACAAGTTTCCAATGTTTTGTTCTATAATAAAACATCAACGTGTTCATTCAAATGTCACCACACTTTATCTTGTGAGATCAGCTACTTCACAAATAAGAAATGTCTGATCTATCCGTAATAACGATATCCGTATCTCGTTATTACATACGACCAAGGACGATTTAAGATTCAATCATATGTAATTTGTATCTCACAATCATAACTCTTTGTGATTAACAAATCACTAATACTTGAATCTACGAATTTTATTATTTAATTTATTATAATATTAATTTAATTAAATAATAGATATAGCCATAAAAACGCATTGATAATATATATTAAAAGTGTTTATGTTTCAAAATTGATTGGACCTAGGGCATAGCACTTGCAAATACTTCTTCATATGCTCAACGAAGTTGAAGAAAACATTGGCACTAACAAAATGAAGCCCTATCTGTCAATATTACTAGCAGAAAACAATCCAAATATACATCAATGCAAAGGCACACAACAAACTCTGAAATATACCTTATCTTTTTTCAAATTGATGTTGAAACTATTCATGTTTCTGAAATCATATGCTCTCAAACTAAATGCTTAAAACTAATACTACGATTAGGACACTGTAAAAATTGCAATGTCAACACAAGCATTGTGTTACAACAAACACAACTACATAATTATCAAACGAGATTCAGTCCTTATAAACTCCGGACATGGTAACTATTGTAGCTTTGAAATCCTACCCTGTACTTCGTTAGGCATCCATCCCCTCTTTCATAGCAAGCAGCAATCACTCTCAGTCTTGTATGGTTGCTTCTGTTCATGCTGTCGTACAAGAGAATATAGCAAAAGGCTGTTAGAAACAACTTCATTTATGCTTTATAATTTCCATAGCTGGCTATTTATTCATATGTTTCTAGTAGATGTGAATGATGAGATGTAATAGAGTGTTGGAGAAAGTTTCTTTCTATGAAGCACGGATATGGACACAAAACATATGCACGTTGATGTGAAATCTTTTGAACACTAGGATTGATTGTAAGATTTATTTTGAATCACTACTACGACAAAATAACATATTCATGCGTAAAAAAATTGCATATAGCAGTGTAACCATATTTAAAGATGATTTTCCTACAATTTATTTTAGCTTACGTTGATTCTTTTCTACAATTAGGTAATACCATTAAATTATTCTTCCTAATCTAACATTCCAAGTTTTATATCGGACTAGACGTATCCACTACATGTTAGAGGACATACAAATTCGAAACACAAAAATGACGGGCCAGGAGGTATCCATCTTTTGTCAAAATTTCAAATATATATATCTATATATATATAAGTAGGACATGTCACATGACATCCTGGACGTGTCACAGAGTATCCGAGGGTTGGTATTTGATTCATGTAGGACATGAACATTAGGATCCGTTTAAACTTCTACGATGAATTAACTGCAAATGAGAAGTTAACTGTATTAATAATATGGGGTACAAAGAACATACCATGCAACTGCAGCCATTTGAGGAACATCTAGTACTCCTTGAAATTGATCAAAATCTGATCCATCTGTGGTTGATGTCTCCTTACCTAACAAATAAGCAACAAATTGTCAAGTCAATACAAAATAATCCATCAGTTGCTTTCAGTCGAATGCGCAATATATATTTTCTTATTTTTGTCGAACTAGTGTTTTTTCATAAAAACTACTAAAAACCAATTATAAAATAGAAGTAGAACTTTTTCTGCACTCTTCCTTCTCTCTGTTTTATTTCATTGTCAATCTTTTCTTTTCAGGAAAAGGGACAATATTATGGAGATATCCCTCTTGAACCTTACTCAATCCTAAGATCAAGAATAATGTTATCAAGCACCAGTGTACTAGAACACCAGTTACCAGTTAACACCAGTTTAGGGGGCTACAGTTTATATGTTAAATTAAATGAGTCATGTCATTAAATGAATATATCATTTAATGCCATATAATTATCGCCTAGACTAGTGCTTAACACTGGTGGTGATAAATGGCATTACTCTAGGATCAATGTTGGTGGACAAAGCTTTTCTGAGCAAACACTAATCGACTTACTTTTACACCAGCCATGGATAGAAGTTTGTGAGAAGCTGCATAGGCAGTTTCCGAATTAACCAATCTCTTTTCCACATAATAGATAACTTCCAAGACACCTGACTGCAAGTATAACTGTTAATTTCTGGGGAAAAAAAATGAAACCAGATATATGCACAAAGATGAAAAGTACATCAATAAAATTAAAATGTTACAGCCACACGCAAGTACACTGGAAATAGTTAAATGAGCAAAATAAATATACATACAAGGATATCAATACATCTAATAATTATGCAGGAATTTTGATTATCTTGAAAAGTATGAACTTCATGTTATGTTTGAGCTTTAGTGAGACAGGCATTCATGAATGACTCGAAATGTTAGTGATGGAGATCAAGATAAAGATCAAAATAAAGATAAATTTTAATTAGGATTTTATAATAAGAGTTTGATTTAAAATAGATTTGATTAGATTATGCTAGATTAGTTTTGATATTTTGATAGAATTATAGTTTGTTAGAAGTTTTTTTCCTTTTTAACTTCTTTTAGTTTATTTGCTCAATAAGAAGGGCATACTCAATGTAATAGACAACCTGATTATATGATATAAATTGATTTCCTCTTGCCCTCAATTCTTCTGTCTTTTCCCTTCCTTTCTCCTCTTCTCTTCCCTTTCTCCTTCTCCTATAATTCTCTTATTGTATCCTATGTAAGTTAACCCAGGGAGTATTTAGTTTCAGCAAATACATTTCTAATGGTTTGGAATGCATCCAGAAGTGCTCACAAAGTCAAGATCTCCAATATAAATTATAATATATTGGCATCAAATTACAACTGTGTTCTCTGCAGTTCCAAGCTACTAGATTTAGTGCTACAGTAGTATCTTAAGATCTCTATTATATACAAGAATGTTAAAACAAGTGTCCAGGAACCATATAATTTGCAGAGACTAGAAAGATTGATTCTTTTTCAGACTTCTGATCATGTAATATTTTGGTGGGATTCATCAACCACCTCTTTCGAGCTTGCTGTCATTTCTTTTGCTTCAATATGTGTAGCAGATGCATGAGAAAGTTGATGCCTGAGATATAAAGAATTTCCAACACCAACTACAACTATGGTTGGGTCGGGTCATTCATATAACTTTCACAAACTTGGGATTTAATTTCAGATAATTGAATAACATATACACAGACCAGCTTTCTTTCACCTGAATAATTATCTTGGCACATTCATTGCAAGGAAACATTGTAACATAAAGCCTCTGCAAATGTAATGGACATAACAAATAATTAGCAAAGGAAAACCTGAATCCAGAAAGAAAAGAAAAGCACTTAATGAATTAACTCAAATGGAGATTTGTGATAAAGTTAAATTAGAATATATAACTAACTTGTCCTGCAGCAGATGCATGATTTGTATTCAAGATAGCATTTACTTCAGCATGGCATACATAACTACAAGTAACAAGTGAAATTGATAGTGTATCAAATTGAGGAGATGAACAAAGAAAAGGGAAAGAATAAAAATCGATTCACATAAAACTTTTACTCATCAATTTTGATGTCATGTAACTTACGGGTACTTTGTCTCCAAGGGATCATCATTTTTGGATTTCTGAAATATCAAGACATGAGTTACAAATACTCAATTCTTTAAATTTAACTTACGTTTTTTTTAATTTAAAAAAAAAAAACCAACCTTAGACCATGGAAGCTTGTCATCTGAACAACCACGTGGGAAACCATTGTAGCCGATGCCTGGTTAGGACAATGGCACCAATGCACCAAAACTTGATTAACTTATTCAGATTACTTTATTCGTCATATTACTATTTTTGGGTTAACTAACCCCCAGTTTGAAACTCATTATCTAAATTTATTTTTCTTCAAACTCATTTTCAACCACACATTCTTCCAATAAAATAATTTGAACGTAAACACACAACTTTTCTATACTTTTTAACCACACATTCTCCAAAAATTCAATATCGCAATATCCATTTTTTGTGAAAAATGGGACTCAAACAGGGGCTAAATAATCACCGAGCAAGCATATTACATGATCACAGTGAACATATATTCAAAGTGTCGTATGTGTTTATTAAGTTGAGGGAAGATTGCTTCCGAATGCTATGCATAGATTGAGAAACAATAGAGGATTGGTAATTATAAGCATGGGTGATGGTGGAACAGCCAAAAACATATTGAAGTTTTCTATATCCACAATCAATCACATGTTAAAATGTATGTGCTCAAATTCACGTATATGTAACACATGAAAATGGGATGCACAGACACATTCTATTACTCATCACTATCTGTGCTGCTTTTGTCATATTACCTAACCTTCAAATCATATCAGCAAGCCATCATAGTAACATGAAAAAAGACTCAATTTCTGTACGTTATATGATCAAAAGAAAAAACACATGCAAATGCATACTGCAAAATAAGTGTGTAGATGATTCTTTGAGATGTAGCAAATCATTGACTTGTGGAATTGATTATAAATAATATTTATAATTAGTAGTAAATGGTGGAATGCTGACATTCTAATGCTTTGACCGATGAAGCACTTAAATGGGGTTGGTGCCTAATAGACCTGATCTGATGGCTCAGAATGGTGAAGGGCCAGCCAGGACCAGGCTGAAGACATGATTCCTAGGAGTTGCTCATGTGATTAAAGAGAAACAAGTGAAATTTGAAGGCACAATTCAAGCTTTGATTCTCAATAAATTTGCAATGATCGTGTAGGTTGTAAATGCTAAAATACAGAAACCCACATGAAATATGGCATCAATGCCTCACTCACTGAAGAACCCTGATTCAAGATTAAAGAACACAAGATGACAGCAATAGAAGTTGATGCCGCATATATAAGGCTTTCACAACTGAAATCATCAAAATTGCCAAAAGCCAAGTCATAACACTTGTTGCCGGCATGGAATTGGGTACAGGAAACTGAAATTTGTCTAAATCAATTCAAAATTTGAATAGTGAGCATTCCACACATGCAATCAATAATATCTCTAGCAAGAAACCTTACCAAGAATGATGCCCTTTTGACTCACCAAACAAGCTCCAACCTACAAGACAACCCAGGAGGGAGAAAAAGAAAAGTAAAAAGTAGATTTAATTCTCAAAAAGATAAAACTTGGGAATTTGAATCATATAAAACCAAGAACAAAAAAATTCTGACATCGAAATATGCTCTGCCAACTTGGTGTAAAAGAGACTGAAATCTGTAGAAAACACCGCAAAACAAGACACAGTGATAGCTCACCCCCTCGAAGTGGAGGATGGTCAATCTATGTTAATACTGTATGAATCACAGACACGATGTAATACAGACATCAAGCCTACTGTCTTCTACTCTTCCATAAGCCCAACCATGAACCAAAACCTTCTCTCTTCGCAGGCCCAGCCATCAGGCCTGTTTATCGCTGACCTCCATAATCTCCTATTTGCCATGCTTAAGATTCGCAGTTCTATTTTAAGGTTTGCATCTCTCTCTTTGTTCATTCACTTTTGTGTCCACTTTCATTTTATGAGGTAATCTTCTTTTCCATCTTCTATATTTTGTTTTAGTCTTCAAGCCATGTCTCATAACTCGACAATTAGGATTTCTTATTCTTCCTTTTCAGAATGTCTTCATTGGACCAATATTTACACAACGTTTTTTAACATATACTTCAAAATTAGCATCACATTGACGGGCTGAGCTTATTTATTTTTTATTCTTCTAGTCCTCCTAAGCCCATAACACCCATATTTACGGAACTATTGACATATTTACAGCCAACTGCTTGATAATAGATGATCTGGAGTTTTAGGAACAGTATCAAGGCTGATCCTAATCTTCAAGTGGCAGAGATTTAGGTGGCCCGAGCAGGCCTACGGAGGCTCAGTGGTCAATTGTTCCAATTTAGCCAGAACTAAGTATGGGTAATTGTGTTGACACCATCATATCTATGATCAAAGAAGCTACCACCTATAAGCTTATCATACTTGCCCTAAATCTAATTACGAAGCTTTTAAGATACCAAGTGTGTGGTTCTACATCCTTCTCCTTTCCTATGTGCTTTTAGACAGCCATTTCATCATCTTTTTGGTAAGAATTTTAGGTTCCATTAAACTCACCATCGTTCAGTTGGGCCAAATGTGTGGAGAGCAATGATCAGTTCATTTATCCATAACACCAAGCTGGATTCCATAAGATAATGAAGGAGAATTTTATGACAAGGTGCATAGTGAAGGGTAACATTAAAACCAGAGTGCTTGGGAATGGGCGACCCTAATGACCAACAATGTGATGCAAATAAGCCATAAAATCAATTTCTTTAAGACTTCGATACATTGTCAAGTGACAAATAACGTCTATATCAGGAGGGAACCAACTATCACGGACTAGACTTTTCAAGTACTTGTCTCACACTTGATATTATTTTCAAAATACATTTTTCACTCTCCTATTTCCAACTATACATTCTTCAATAAAATAATATTGCACGCAAATCAAAAAAATTTCCTTATTTTTTAACCACACATTCTCCATCAATCTACTATGCAAAAATGCATTCTCAAAAGAAAATGGGGCTCAAACAAGCTCTTAACTTTTCATAATTGGCAGAAATTGTGGTTTATAATAGGCAACACAATTAAACTAACCACTAAGTCAGGAGTAGGAAAACTCAAAATTGAATTCACTTGCATGCATGATACCCTTCCTTAGCCGTGGATGTTTTCTTCTTCTTACCGTACTCGTCTTAGCTTGGGAATAACTTCCATTTTCCTAAACTAAGAGAAGCCAATATCATCTTTGAGGTGAGATAGAGCACTCTCTTCATCTAAAAACTGCTATCATGGCCAACCTTTCACTCTTTTGTCTATGAGGAGTAGTCTTTCATAATCCATAAAGAAATCCCTATGACCATAGCCTCATCAACATTGCTGATACTCACCAAAACAACTCTATCTTAGACCGTTGTTGGTGTTCATCAGCAAAATAAAACAAGTCTTCCTCCATCATGCTTGGGATTTATAACATTAAGGTTGTAAATACTTCAACATTACTATATATGATCAACGTGTGCTTCTCCTCACATGAACTCTTGCATGCCACATAGACCACATAGAGGTATTCACAAATCACAAGGTACCTCTGTCTTAAAAATACAAGAAAACACTTACATTTTACATAATTTAAATTTACCTGCCTGTTAGGATCCTTGGATCGTTCAGCGGAGAGAAATGCAATAGCCATAAAATAATCATCCCATGACAAATATCTGCATTTCGATAAGAAATAACATTCTGAAAATGAATATAAATGTTTTGCCTTGCATTTTATTCTATACCTTTTAAAGCAATACTAGCAAAAGAACTTCAGCAAGTACTGTTCGTGGCTACTTCTACCTTATGCATCGCTATCACTTCTTGAACCTCTTTCAACATTATATAAACACAGAGTGGAAAACATAGAAAAACCCTTCAACTAATGAGGAGTCTCTTTTCTACTATCGCATTATTATCACTATTTGAGTTGATCCAAAGCAGAAAGTGCAACAAAGAATGAAAAATATACTAAATGTATAAGTAATTGGCTAACCCTTTTCGTTTGGTGGGATCAAATGGGTTCTGAGGAGAGGGTTTCCTCCCATCAACGACGCAGTTTGCTGATAAGCGCTTGTTGGGGCGATTGGAGTAGAAAAATCGGCGAAATACGATTGCCGAGGCCACCGCACCAAAAATTGTGGCGGTTGAAACTAACGCTATCTCTCGCGAGTTCATCATCTCCTGCAATTCGCACCGCACATAAGCATTCACTGCGAGAGAGGAATTTGGCAGAAAAGAGTGGGAAAATGACAAAGAAAAGTAGCGGGAAAAAGTGTATAGAACGAATCGGTGGGCTCATTTATAGTGTTGGGCTAGTGGCCTAGCCCTGTGACATGACAAATGGAAAATTGACAGAATTAGCACAACAGAGCATGATGTAACGTTTTGTATCATCCTCGATCGTCTTCTTTTGGCCTTTTTGGTCGATATGAGATCTTCGGGAAGATCAGTCTGTTACCCCTAAAATAACTTTTATTCATTGAGCAACGATCCTTCCACTTGACATTATCTGATCACTAAGGTCGACTTTCGTCCCTACTCGATGAGTGAATTTTGCTGTCAAGCTCCACTTTGCCTTTACGCTCGAGAGTCAATCTCCAATTGACCCGAGGAAACCTTTGCACGTCTCTGTTACTATTAGAACTAAAGAGTATGATATAAAATTTCGTATTATACTCATTTTTTTTTTGTGTGTGTGAAAGTGTAGCATAATCATTCTTTGATTGAACATGAGACCACTTTCTCTGATTTTTCTTGATTTTAGAGGATTTTTTTTATTTTCAATTTTGAGTAATAATTATTTTAATATTTTTTCCCCCTAATCCACTCCCTTTCAAGTTGATCATGCTTTGATCCCAATGTATATTGATGTTAAAACATGATAACAAGTTGATCAATCTTGACTTGATTTCTAATAGATGAAATTGGACAGATTGAAGGGGTGGATCCCTGATGAAAAAAAAAAAAAAGAGAAGACTTCAACAATACAATTGAAAGACTAAATATATTTATATGAAAGGTTCATAACATTTACACATTATCACATTTACTTCTTGAACTTTTTTTCATCGTATTTTCATTCTCAAATTAACATAAGTTGTTCCTGAATATGGTTTCTCTTCAAAATTTTCTTTAAACTAGAATAAAAGACTCGCTTGCTTGTTGTAATTTTTAATAAGCAAAACAAATAATACTGTAAAAATATAATTAAATATTGGGCCCTCGTTTTAAATTACGTTAACAATATATTTGAAGTGACAACACATTAACTTACAAGTCAAAAATGAAAAGACAGCAAAAAGTACAGAAAACGTGCAATTCAAATACTTTAACATACTACTTTAGGCGCAACTTGCAATTCCTTTAAAGATCAAACTGATTAGCTTTGTATCATAAGAACTAAAATATAAAAATTCAATAAGAATCTCAAATCTCAATTCACAAATTCTGTTAAAAATAATAATAATATATAACTTGTAATGACCCGAAAATTCATAATATTTTTGCATTCGATTATTCGAGTTAGATGGGTCTCTATTAACGTCAAAAATAGAATTGTACTTTAAGTAATGTCGAAGTTTGTTGATATGAAATAAGATGATTATACTCATTTGAGCAGCCATCTCTTGCTAGGCATTTTGGATCCATCTTTTAACGATATTTCATTTTGAAATATGTGTCGATTATCAAGTCGAGTTTTTTGATGTAATACTTGGAAGTTAGAACTCATCCTCATGATTGAGAAATATAGCTCGAAAAAAGTCAAAGAGGTTAGACAACGAATTCAATTTTTTGAATCTAATTGTGTAACTATTTTTAATTCACTGTTGCAACGTCGTCTTTTAACGATTTCACAAATTAAAATGTGTCTTGCAATGTATGTCATGATGCCATTAGTACTAAGTGTGAGTATTTCTAGATAAGAGAGTTGAGTCAAGGTTTATTGGATGCTTGATATGTGACCTCTTCCGAACAGTTCATCAAGTACCATCGTGTCACTCCAGAACCATCATAGACGTGATCTTCATAGCTTAACTCTCACTGAGCACTGTCGTTGCAGAATTGTCATATCAATCACTCTGTGCAGTGTCCAGTGCAATTTCATCGAGACGAGGCTTGCAACAGATGCCAGTTGACACGGATATGCATTGCAGCGGAGAGGTGGTGCATTGCCTCAAATAACAACCTTTCCAGGCGAGGTGCTTAAAGGCGTGGCCCAATCGTCTTGAAAAAGGCATGTAAAAAAGGCGATGCAAAGATAAAACGCTGACCTTGTATGACTTATTGTTTAGATGATTATCACAATAACTGGCCTAATAGATTTGGGCATAACGTGTCCAATCGGACCCTTTAATAGCTTTACAAAAGATGTAAAATTAAGTACACAAGTGATGAAAGTTCGGACAGATGGTTGCCTTTGCTTATTTGAAAGGAGTTGAGATTTATTATCCAATTTTTGCTGTCCAATTTGCTGTCTACTTAATTAATTATTGACATATCATTTTTGTTATAGAGAGAGTATTTAACAGTGTTAAATAATTGTTAAAGTGAAAAAATTAAAATTGATAATATATTAATTTCAAATGATGTGTGAATAAATAATTTTGTGAACAACTCAACTCATTTGAAAAATGTGCCTACCATTGTCTTTATTTTGGCATATGCTGAATTTGTGGAATTAAAGCAAGAGGATCATGGCCTAACGCGTTAAAGACTTTTAGCCCTTTACTTTTGGGGTCAAATGACTATCTGGCCCCAAGTTGTTCAAACTAATTATTCTCAAGTCACCTTTTGTCCTCACAAGTCTAGATACTTTAATTCCTTACTCTTATGGCCTAGGGATTGTCCCAAAGAAAGTGTAAATTATACATCTTTACAAGGTCCAATGGTAGATTATCAATTTAGGCTATGTTAACTAAATTAAAACTTAATTCAAAATTAACAATTAATATTAACTACATGTTTAATTGGACTCACAACTTTTTTACCGCACATTTCCATCATTTTTTATCGTAATTTACTAAAAATATGATTTTTATCTAAATCAAACAGGGAAATTTTTTATTATGACGATTATGTCTTATTTTTTCTCTCACGTCTATTATAAGAATCACAAGTGCTTGAAGAATTGTTCAGAGTTTGTTTAAGGCGCCCGTTACTTTAGTATTCGATAGAGATTAAAATTGGATTAAAATTGAAAAATTAGCCGTTATTGTTGACTTTTATTAAATAAGTGGGACCCGATAACGATTATATTTTCAATTTTAATTGAATTTTAAGTACGACCGAACATGCCCATAATCTACTAGCTTTCTATAATTAATGAACAAAATTGCTTGTCTCCCAATGCCTTCTTTAAAGCATTATGCTCATGTACTGTTTAGATTTTTAACAAATTTTGATAAAAGTACATAAATTATGCGGTTAAAATTATTTTTTGACTTTGTCTTAAATTTTTATCAACTTTTTTAGTGAAATCAACGAGGAACTATATACTATTCATGATCTGATATTTGCAATCGTCGTAATCTTTGTGTATAGAATTTGTTCCAACAATCAGTGGCGGAGCTAGCTCGTCGGAGTAGGGGGGTCCTAGAGGTGAAGGGGTGGGGGCCACAGTGGTTTGGGGGAAGCGCTACCGATTTTTTTTTTTGATACGTTATTAATAAAAAAATCAAGAAACATATAAAAGAAAGTACTAATTTTTAATTTAGCAAAATCATACTTTATTACAAGTGTTCCTTTCGAGTTCTCATACTTTGATAACATTGTATAACTACATTATCATCGATCATGTCGAATACATTCTTCTCAATATACACAAT